ATAAGGTCTGTGACTGTAAAACCTCCCTTGAAAGATTTTGCTGGATGAGAATGAGCAGATTTCACAGTAAATTAATAAAAGGGGTTTTTGTCGGAACAAGGAGCTTGTTTCATACTCTTGGGAAGTCTCAGTCAGAACAGGTCTCTTGCTGTTTTGTTAAATGGGGCTCGCTTAGAAAATGCTTTAGGGGTACCTGTTACTCTACCAATTTAAAAATATGTGGAGGCTCTGAGCTTGGTGTTCTGCTCACAGATGTTTCATTACCCAACTAGGTTGTATCATCAATTTTAGAAGGGAATGAGTTTATAGTAGTTTTTCCTGTGTTGGTAGATGTATGGTTTTTTCCCTTGGGAGTTCCTTTTTTAGAGTATTGTTTTCTGCTTTCTTGTTTGTCCGGTGTTAATCCCTGCTTATCTGAGCATTGGCTGCTAGAGAAGATGTGTTCAGGACTTTCTGCTTCCTTCTTAGCTTTTTTTTAAATTATCTCTTTTGCATGGGGTGTTAATGTATATTCCTATGTCCCAAAGATGCTTCTTCAAGAGGCAACTGGACTTTCTGGTTTTTCTTTGAAGATGTTTCGCTTTTCAACCAAGAAGTTTCTTCAGCCTCTTTGGGACAATCAGGACCTGGATGACTGAGAATCTTCATAGATGTGTATTTCTATGGATCTGTTGAATGTGTCTAAAGGTACCCCTCACACCAATGTGCTAGTCATTCTCAACTCCAGAGAGCAGTGTTCATCTCTGTTACAAAGCCGAAGAGCCAGCGCTGTCCGAAGATGTCTCCGTGGTCGTGTGGCTGGCATGACTAAATGCCAAAGACCCACAGAACGCCGTTCCCTTCCCACCAAAGATGGTTCCTATTTTTCTATTTACATTTTTACGTACTTTCGAACTGCTAGGTTGGCAGAAGCTGGGACAAGTAACAAAAGCTCACTTCTTTACACAGCACTAGGGATTCGAACCACCAAAATGCACACCTTTCTGATCGACAAGCTCAGTGTCTTAGCCACTGAGCCACCATGTCCCTTTTAATGTGTCTACTGATGGCCAATTTGTTTAAATGACAATTATCCAGGAATTCCCTAGTGGATTTGGATTTGTCCATCTTCTGCTTTCCTTTCCCAAAAAGGCTCAAGTCAAATGAAGTTTCAATTGTGCTGTTGGTTAGAATGCAGTATTGCAGGCAAATTGTGCCAACTGCCAGCAGCTCGATTCTCAATACCTCAAGGTTGACTCAGCCTTCCATCCTTCCGAGGTAGGTCAAATGAGGACCCAGATTGTTGAGGCCAAGTGGCTGACTCTGTTAACTGCTTAGAGAGGGCTGTAAAACACTAGGAAGCAGTATATAAGTCTAAGTGCTATTTCTATTTCTATTTCATTTATTCCTTCTTCCTTCCTTCCTTCCTTCCTTCCTTCCTTCCTTCCTTCCTTCCTTCCTTCCTTCCTTCCTNATCTCTTTGTCAGTCATTCTTGGACTGCTAAAGGGTTTCTTGACTGTTAAAATGTTGAAAGGGGAGAACAGCCTCAGCTACCCTATAAAATTTAGAAAACAAGTGTTCCATGCCCCTTCGGCGTTTAGTCATGGCGGCCACATGACCACGGAGACGTCTTCGGACAGTGCTGGCTCTTTGGCTTTGAAACGGAGATGAGCACCTCCCCCTAGAGTCAGGAACAATTAGCAAGCATCTGCAGGGGAATCTTTACCTTTATCCATTCCATATCACTCTCTGGGGTTGAGTTCCACTTGTTTTCTAAATTTTATAGGGTAGCTGAGGCTGTTCTCCCCTTTCAACATTTTAACAGTCAAGAAACCCTTTAGCAGTCCAAGAATGACTGACAAAGAGACCTGGGTTTTTTTAAAAAATCCTGTCTGGGCTGAAGTTAGTAGGATTTTTCAGTAATTCCAATAAATGTTTGGCAGATTGGAAAACAAAAACAACAGGCAAGCAAATGTAGAATAGATAGAGCTGGAAGGGACCTTGGAGGTCTTCTAGTCCAGCCTCCTGCTCAAGCAGGGGAACCTACACTGTTTCAGATAAATGACTATCTAGTGGTCTCTTCTTGTCCTTCTTCAAATGAAATAACTGCTGCCTAATAATCCTGGGATTTTAAACCGTGGATAAGAATCACTCTGGACGTTGTGAACAATTTAGAAGAGAGTCCCAACTGAATAAAACCTTGAAATAAGGAGGAATTTTCTGACAGTGAGGACAATCCACCCATGGAAGAGAAGTTGCCTTCAGAGGTTGTGGGAGCTTCATCCCTGGAGGCTTTCAAGACGAGACTGAACAGCCATCTGTCAGAAATGGTGTAGGGTCTCCTGCTTTGACAGGGGGTTGGGCTAGCCGCTAGATGACCTACAAGGTCCCTTTCCAGCTCTGTTAATCTGTTAAAAGAAAATTTAGCAGACACTAAAATTTGTTCAGGAAAATGATGACCCTCTGTGATGACCTTAGCCATGCTATTAAAAAGGAGTCCTCTTGGAGGTTACCTTGACGTCTTATTTTGGCATGTAATGAAAAAAAGAATAATTTCCTGACTCTTGGAGGATACACATTAAACATACATGTATGCCACACTTGATTTACATCACAAAACTCTCAAATCGGATTCCCATGAAAATTCATCCCAAAACTCTCCCTTCCTTTGAAATGAATGCAAAAAGAGTGGTGTGAACTGTTGCAGGGGACAGTCTCTGCCTGATGGCTACCATGAAGCTCCCTAGTTTTGCATCTGTAGTAGTAGGAAGCCCAGGGGGTTTCAGGGCTGCTCTGAAATCAGCTGGGCACATGGCCACCTGCACTAAGAAGCAGGCTCCGCCATCCGCCGCTCTCCGAGGGAAATCCATCCCATGATTCTGCTACCAGACTCCGGCCGGATTGGAGAGGGGAAACTTCCGTAACAGGAGATGATCTTTTCAGGCCCAGTTACCAGGCAGGATGCAATTTGACTTGAAAAAAAGGGGGTCTTCCCAACGGAACATGGTATCGGGCAGGGATGGCTAACCTTTTTGTCCTCGCGCGCCGAAATTGTGCGGGGGTGTGTGTTTGCTATTATGCGCGTGCTCCACACCCACAATGCAATGCCCCCTGCGCATGTGTGCGCAAAACACTCCCCCCTGTGTGGCCTACTCAGCTTCCTGCACTACACCAGGGATGAGGGGGGTGTTTTTGCCCTCCCCAGGCTTTCCTCCAGAGGCCAAAAACAGGCCCATTTCCAGAACTTCAGGGAGGCTCATTTTTTGCCCTCCCCAGGCTCTGGAAGCTTTCCTCGAGCCTCTGGGAGGGCAAAACACATCTTTCCCTGGCGTCCAGAGGCCCTCCCTGAAGCTTCCTGGCACCAAAAACAGAGGGGGGGAACTGCAACTGCCCCATGTTTCCCTTGGCCTCTGCGCATATGGGCATGATCCCTTGCATATCCATGTGCACCTCCCGGCAGAGACCTGAAAATCAGGTGCGTGCACATGCGGCGTACAGCTGACCTGGGTGACGGCTCATGTGCCCTCAGAGAGGGCTCTGCATGTTACCTGTGGCACACATGCCACAGGTTCGCCAGACTTGTGGACTTTAATTCCCAGAGTTAAAGAGCTTTTGCTGGCTGAGGAATTCTGGGAGTTGAAGTCCACAAGTCTTAAAATTTTCCAAGTTTTAAAATGACTGTGACAAAAAAGGTGGTGGAGTCAGGCACGAGTCATTTAACGACTGCCTTGCCTGCCGTTCAATTTGCTCTGACAGCCGCCCCCAACCCCAAGTAGAGACCTGGAATAGGAAGCCCCCTTCAAAGGCTCCCCTCCGAGAAAGGAAAGGGACCGACATGGCCCCCTCTTTCTCTGGGGCTCCCTGAACAAAGAGCCAGAGCGGAGGACTCCATGGCCGATTCTACAAACCCGGCCCATGAAAGCCAGACAGTCGCAGGAGCAAGAGGGGCGGCAGAGAAATTCACTTCACAACTGCAGTGATTTGCTTGAAAGCTTCAGCAATTCGCTTAACAAGTGCAGTGCTTCACCTGACAATCACAGTGATTTGCCTGACAATTGCAGTGATTCACCAAACATCCACAGTGATTTGTTTAACTGCAGTGATTTATCTGACAACTACAGTGATTCATTTAACACCTGCAGTGATTCACTTGACAACTGCAGTGTTTCGCTTAACTGCAGTTTCACTTAACATCTGCAGTGATTCGCTTAACATCTGCAGATTCCTTTGACAACTGCAATGATTTGCTTAACATCTACAGTGATTCCTTTGACAACTGCAGTGATTCTGACAACTGCAGTGTTTTTCTTAACTGCAGTGATTCGCTTAACATCTGCAGTGACTCCTTAGACAACTGGCAGTGATTCTGACAACTGCAGTGTTTTGCTTAACTGCCGTGTTTCACTTAACATCTGCAGTGATTCCTTAGACAAATGGCAGTGATTCTGACAACTGCAGTGTTTTGCTTAACTGCCGTGTTTCACTTAACATCTGCAGTGTTTCATTGAACATCAAATGATTTGTTTAACTGCAGTGGTTCTTCTGACACCTGCAGTGATTTACCTAACAACTGAAGTGATTCATTTAACATCTGCAGCAATTCACTTAACTGTGGCCAAAAAGGTTGTAAAATGGAGCAAAACTCACTTAACAACAGTCTTGTCTAGCAGTGGAAATGTTGGGCTCAATTGTAAGTTGAGGGCTCCCTGTACTCCTCAGTTCCTCCTTGGAAACCAGGGTCCAAGGAGAGGCCCAACTCCTGGACATCCTACAAAATTCTATGCAAGGCACCATTTATTTGATGGGCCCCTGGAGCCAGGCTTTATTTCAAATCAGTCTCACTCCTTACTGCAGGAAATCTGTGTCCACACAGGTGTGCATCTCTTGACACTGTGCAAAGTTTACTGCCAGTCCACAACTCCAGGCATTGCTGCCACCTGTTGGTCAGAATAAGCCACCTCTCACCTCTTTCTGTCTCTCTCACTATGCAGAAAGAGCCCTGTGGACCAGTTTGCTGAAAGGAGCAGCAATGATAAAGATCATAAATAAATTAAATAAATACTTGCAACAAAAGGCAGCTAATTTTGGAGTTATGTTGAGGGAGGGGCTTAAATCTTCCCCCAAATTTTCCAATAATTTCAAAGGCTGCAGAATGTGAGTTTTTTTTTTCATAAAACTTTCTTAATTCTTCAGTGAATATACAAAAATACACTTCTTCAGCTTCATGGCTTGAAGGAAACTCTGACATGGTCTCTATGCTTCAGAGAGGATCAGCAAACCAAAGTCCATGCACCAAAGGATCTAGTCCAAAGTGGGAGGGCCCAGTCCAGATTCTTGCTGGTGCCACAAAGAATTTATATGGTTTCTGGCTTCCCCACCCCACCGTTTCAATCAGGTCCAGGTGCATTTCAGCACCACGAACACAGAGGGCTCAGTCCTGAAACCGTTAACCCAAAGCCAAATATTGGCCCTGCTGTTTCAGAATCCAAGGCCTTCTTTGTTTTAAAAGAACCTGTTCCCACATTTGTCAAACGAGTCAATTCCAGGGAAGCAACTGCAGCTCAACCTCTTTGGAAAAAACTGGTAATTTTACAGTGGCAGGTGAGGGAGGAAGTAAACACCGGCCACAGGACAGGTAAGCCTCTCCAATTTCTCCAGGGTCCGTGCTGCAGTCGGACACTCCCTTCTTCCCAAAGGACAGGCTAATTCATTCAAGCATCCCACACAGCAAAGGTTGAAGGCTTTTTCTGTGTCTTGGTAAAAATTATTTGTTCATTCTGACCTCCTCATACAATATCAAGACCTTAGAGGTCCGTCCAAAGAAGCAACTGATGTTGCAAATTCACTGAACAGAAGTACATGGGTTTTTTTGGGGGGGTAGGGTGGTCCCCTCTGTTGTGACCTTTTCATCCTACCAAGTTGTTCTTCAGCTTTCGTTCTCTCTTCTCTTCCGCTCGGTGAGCACAGAACATTCTCAAAAAGCTACGCAACCGCCAGCCACCGCACCTCACTTCTGTCCAGAGTGGCCATCCGTGTCAGAAGCCATCTGGGACTTTTCTTGGGAAGGTCCCTGGGAGTGATCCAAGTCAGCTGCTGAAGACGGCCAGTCAGAAAGTGCTCTCCAGCAAGCAGTGGCAGCCGCAGCCCGTGGGACAGACTTCCTGGGTGCGGAACCACTCCATCATGTGGCTGGTGTGCCCTCCGTGGCCGCAGGTCAGGCAGAAGTTGGAAGAGCCCCGCACAGCCACGTGGCAGATGGCGCACTGGAAGGCAAAGCCTTTGCAGATGGCACACTGAATGCCACGCACTTCGCTGCGGCAGTAGCTGCAGAAGACACCAAACTCTGCCAGGGAAGCAAAAGAGAGAGGGGGTGTGAATTGGAGGGGGGGTCACAATTAAGCCCAAGTAAAATAAGTACGGGGGTGGGAAGGCCCAAACACAGAAAGGGAAAGCGATACAAATGTGCTGTGAAAACGATCACTGACAATCCCTCCTTTTCCTTCTGAAACAGCATTTGTATGAGTTAGCCGTGTGCGGCGGCAGCCAAAAAAGCCAACACAATCCTAAATTGCATTAACAGAGGGATACAATCAAGATCAAGGGAGGTACTAAGACCACTCTATAAAGCCTTAGTAAGACCCCACCTAGAATACTGCATCTAGTTTGGGTCACCACACTATAAAAAAGATGTTGAGGCTCTAGAAAGAGTGCAGAGAAGAACAACTAAGATGGATGGAAGCTGATCAAGGAGAGATTCAACCTGGAAATAAGGATGAATTTCCTAACAGTGAGAACAATCAACCAGTGGAACAACAGTTGTCTTCAGAAGTTGTTGGAGCTTCATCACTGGAGGCTTTCAAGAAGAGACAGCACTGCCATCTGTCAGACATGGTGTAGGGTCTCCTGCTTCGGCAGGGGGTTGGACTAGATGACCTACAAGGTCCCTTCCAGTCTGTTAATCTGTATATTGCTGCCCAACTCACACCCAGCAACTCTGCAGGGTCTAGGACAACTTGCCACAGACAACTTGCTGCGGGACAACTTACAATTCACCACAGGACAACTTGCTATGGCCAATTCAATCTGCTGCAGAACAAGAGTGACACTAATGTCGAAGAAATGGTGGAATATTAAAGAAAAGATGGCAAAGGGGGACAAAATGAAATGTGAATAACGAAACTTAAAATAATTTCTAATTATTCTAAATAATGAAACTGAATTGAATTGTTCCGCGGCATGTTGTCCCATGGGGAATTAGCCATAGTGAGTTGTCCTGTGGCAAATTGGCCGGGGCGAGTTGTTCCATTCTGACTGTGTGCATACTCCCCTCAACAACAGATACCCCTTCCAGCAATACAACCACGTCTGGTACATGAAGCTAAATGAGCCAGGATCTTTCTCCCCAAACTCAGCCTTACAGGTAGAAGTGTTAAAGGTTATCAGGCTGAGCCTGAGGGACGGGTCAAACACATCAGCTTGCAAGAGATCTATGTCCAGCCTACCTCGAATGCCTCTCTTATCTGCCACTCATGTTAATAGTTCAGGTTCTTGCAGACAGCTTAAACTTCCAATAAATCTTAATACTCATTTGAACTGCTCGGAACTCCTAATTTCCCTGGCGACAAGCCAACAAAACAGGGAGTACTTTGTTGAAAAAACAGTTAGGCAAGACTGAACAAACAAGCCATCCTCTACGGAGCTTCTCTGATTTCCACAGTTGGGAATGGGGGTCCCTGTGGGTTTAAGGCTTGTGGAAAGGGTCACTCGGTGAGGCTTCAGTGATTTGACACCACCATTTCTGTTCTGCCTCGAGCGTTGTAGGCTTGCTCGGGGCATACAGTTAACTCCATGCTTAGGAATCTCATTCAGATCAAGTTTATTATCAGGCATTCTTGGTAGCAAAACTTAAAGTTCAATATTAAGATACTTCTGACTTTCCATAATCTGTCCCAACACGTGGTGTAAAAAGATGATGATTTCACTCCCACGTTGAGTGGAGATACAAACACTACTATTCTGGTTCACAAAGGGATTTAAACTGACCGGCTATAAAGTCACAGATGTGATCACATGTCATGGAACTACATTTCCCATAAGGCAATCTCTGCCTACATTTCCCAGGAGGTAGTTTCTTAAAGGAGACAGTTCTTCATTCCTACACTAGCTATATACTGCTGGGGCAGCACAATTTCCCTGATCTTGACAAAGGGATGGACTGGGCTTTGGAGAGAGAGGCTCAGCATGTAGAGAAACAGTTCACACATTCCAACATCTGAAGAAGGAAACTGCTTGCTTTTTCTTCCACTTTCAGCAAGGCCAGAGGTTGCTTGATGCACCCCTGGAGCTCAGTGCCCGCTTCCCCTTTGAGGGATGGGCTCTCAGGACACCTTTTTGGCCTAGCTGAATCCACCAATCCTCGGCTCCTCCCCACCCCCTGACAAAAAGGAAGCATCTCCCCAGGCCAGATGTTCTCCAACAACAGGAAATACTGNAGAAGTTGCCTCCAGAAGTTGTGAATGCTCCAACAATGGAAGTTTTTAAGAAGATGTTGGATAACCATTTGTCTGAAATGGTAGAGGGTCTCCTGCTTGAGCAGGCGGTTGGACTAGAGGACCTCCAAGATCCCTTTCAACTCTGTTATTCTGTAGTTTCAGCCTCATAGTCATCAGAATAATTTAATTTATCCATGCAATCTTGGTGGGTTTTTTTTTCCCCTTTTAGCTCTGCCTTCACCTTCTAAAATGTAGCTGAGTTAGAGGAAGGAGGTTTACGAGAGTAAGGCTGGATCAAGCTAAGAGCATTATGCTTCTTGTATTTTAATGGGTCTCCAGAGGAATCAGAAAGCACCAATTTGAGGAAAAGTCTGCGAGACAGTAAGATAAGTTGGCTGGGAAAGCGAAATCCCAGGGAACAATGAACTGAGACAGAAAAAAAATGTTTTATGAAATATCAAGGGCTTGCTTTAATTATCTTATAATGTTTGGGGAAGATTACAATTCAGGAAAAAATGTGCAGGAGAGCTGAACATCGGCTGGGCAGAGTCTTTCCATGCAGGAAGAACCATGGCGTGAACCTTTGGCTCTCATTTTCAGATTATTATTATTATTATCGTGATTGGAGCTGGGAATACAGCAAGATTTAAATTAATTGAATTAATTTATTATGCTGCCATCAGAATTGAAAGAGTGGGATGGTATTAAGGCCCTCATCATACCAAGATCGCCTGTGGGGATGAGACAGATAGAAAAATGGATAAAACAGTGTTTGCTCATTCAGTTTGCTCTTGCACAGATTCTGAATCTACCCTCCATAAAAGGATCCCTGGGCTTTGGGGGAAGACTTACTGAGTTCATTTAACAAACAAGGTTCTTCTCAATCTCTTCTTATTTCCATTTTCCTGAACAGGTTTGGAGTCACTACAAGCATAGGTGTGACTTCCTCTGATCATCACCCAGTGAACAAAGCTGGAAATGGATAATTTGCAAGTTTAAATACTCAGCACCCAAATGAAGCACCTGTATACAAAGGTCTTGTTGTGGCCCGCCAGATTCGAACAGTGAGGAGATTGAGGAGGAACATGAGCCAGTCCTGGAGTCTGGGGAAGGCTCTGATGAGGGCTCTGTGTCAGAGGCAGAGTGGGGGCCAGGGCCGTATGCTAGTTATCAGCTGCCTTCAGAGTCAGATATCAGTAAGGCAGAAGAACAGGTGGAGCCTCTTCCCAGTGTGCACATGCACAGAGTTGCCAGAAGAAGGGAGCAGCTAAAGAACAGGGGCCAACTTGGGAGTAAGGCCACAGGTGGACGATGAATGGCCTCTCCCAGAGGAAATAAAAGAGGAGTGAAAGGGGATTGGAGTTTGAAGAAAACAATTAATTCGGTTAATTGGTTCGTGACTCTCCGAGACTCCTTGCCAAGTTTTGCAGAGATCAGACTGGCAGCTCTC